TCTAATCCCTGAGTTTAAACCACACAACACACAATACACAAATAAATGCCAGGCACAGTGATTCATGCCTGTTAAACCCAGGTACTTAGGGAAAATAAACAGGAAGATCCTAAATTTGTACCCATCACAGACAAAATTAGCTAGACCTTATTTTAAGACAAAACAAAATAAAAAATAACAACAAATAAAACAGAATTGTTGGGATGGAGTAGAGTGTTTGTTCAAGCTTCAGATGCTAGGATCAATTTCCAGTACTCAAAAAGCCAATAAATAATACGAATGACTCAACTGATCTCAAATGAAATTGAAAATTATTATGAACAATATAATGTTCAATTGCAGTCAAAATGTCAGTCACACTCAAATATTATAGTATCAGACAACTGGGGAAAGAGGGTCTGTTTTACCAAATTAAAAAACAAAACACAACCACTGCTACCTTATGCAAATGCATCAAATGCACACAAAGCAAGAGACAATTTTATACTCATTTTCCCAGTGCAACTCTCTTTCTTAAGATAACTACCTGACATCACTGTGGCAAAGAACATTTGAGCCAATATCGTCTGCATAGAGGCCAAGATCATCAGTAAATTTGGTTCATTAGTAAAGGTTCCATACTGAAATGAATAAAAAAATGCAAATGTTCAAGGAATATAAAGATGTATTAACACTAAAGACAAAAATGTTCTTAAATGTTAGCACATAAACCGCATAGAAAAATAAACTGGTGTAAATATGATCAATTTAGATAACCTGAGAAAAACATCACAGATTTTTTCAAATAATGCATAAATGACTTTTTGTCCTAGACCGTGACTCAATCAGGGTACGTTATGCTCTCACTTATTGGCTGGCGCTGTCCCACCTGAGCCATGTGTTCCAATCCCCACATAAAAAACTTCTGGGGGAAAAAAAAACGGTGTATAGATCCAAAATCAGGTTCTTTTTGCCAAAAGCAAGAATATTAGCCAGGTGCCTGTGGCTCACTCCTATAATCCTATCTATTCAGAAAGCTGAGATCTGGAGGATTGTGGTTCAAGCTAGCCCAGTAGGAAGGTCCCTGAGATTCTTATCACCAATAAATTATTCCGAGAAAACCAGAAGTGGCTCTACTGGTAGAGGGTTAGCCTTAAGCACAAAGAGGCTCAGGATAGTGCTCAGGGCTTGAATTCAAGCTTCAGGACAAGCAAATGAATGAATGAATGAATGAATGAATGAATGAATGAATGAATTTTAAAAAGCTCGGGGACAGTGCCCAGGCCCTGAGTTCAAGCCCAAGCCCCAGCACTGCCACAGACACACACAAAAAGCACATATTTGTTAGCACAACTGTGGAGCAAAATGTAAGTCTATTTTAACATACAGGAAAGGCAATGCTGGATAAAGACAAAATTTATTCATATCTGTATGCATATTCTCTACAATATGTAGAGATTTTTTTAAATTATATTTTTTATTTACTTTTTTGGTCGGCCGTGGGGCCTGGGCACTGTCCCTCAGCTCTTCAGCTCAAGGCCAGTGCTCTACCACTTGAGTCACAGCGCCACTTCTGGCTTTTTCTTTTTCTTTTTTTGTCGTTTGTGGGGCCTGAGCTCTGGGCCTGGGCGCTGTCCCTCAGCTCTTCAGCTCAAGGCGAGCGCTCTACCACTTGAGCCACTTCCGGCTTTTTCAGCTCACGTGGTGCTGAGGAATCGAGCCCAGGGCCTCATGCATGCAGGGCAAACACTCTACCACTGAGCCACCTTCCAGTCCCCCAAATGTAGATCTTTTAGAATGAAAAGTACTCAAAAGTCTAGACTGATGGAGGTGCCAGAATGCTATATTCATTAAAAGTTCGAACCCGGTCCTGTGAGGCATACTGTACCTTATCCTTCTTACCTCATACTTGGAAAGCAAACTCACTAAAAAAAAAAAAAAAGGCGGGGAAAAACATTTAAAACAATTCAAGTTGCAAAACTGATATGAAATTACAAGGTGTTTTTGGTTTGGGTTTGGGTTTTCCTTACACACCCTTTAATTCACCAAGCATGAGCCGCCGAAACGTCCTGGTTCTACCTCACTTATAGCCCCGCCCACTTCAGAACTGAAAGGGCGGGGAAATCCCCTCCCTCCCCCCCACCCCCACGCTGAATTACACAGCCCTATTGGCAGTCCTGAGATCCATCAAGCAAGGAGAACCGGATGTGTTGATACCAACTTCCGCTTCCCATATTCCGATTCTCGCGAGAAAGATAAACGGCTTGCATTTTGGCTGCTGCATTCCTGGAGTCCTGCTCTCCTGAGTTCCTGCACTCCCTGGCTCCTGGGCTTCTGGCCTCCAGAGAGGCCTTCAGGTCCTCCTAGGAGGTAAGGACATTGGTTTTTGGTTCAAGGGAAACCTTAACCTTTCAAAGACATGGTCCAACCCTCTTCTACCTCAGACCGCTGCCGCCATCTTGTTCAGAACGGTCCGGTCTGGAATTCCGTTATTTGCTGCCTTTCGAATTCTACTTCTGGGGACTCAAAAGTCTGACATGAGACTTCATTCAGGGTTTTGGCATCAATCTAAAAGTGAGAGGAATCCTGGTGCCTTCTAGAGCTAGAAGTGAGCTCTTTTCTGAGTGCCGTAGAAATACCCCTCCCCCACACAGACTTGAAACAGCAAAACGCACCCACCACAGTGGTTCTAGGAAAGTCCATAGCCCACTTATTCCTCTAGAAACTCTAAGCAAGTGAGAGAAAATCAGTTTCTGCCTCAGATCAATAGCAAAAAATGTTCAGGGGCTCACCTACAAATCAGTGAATTACCTCTATGTGAGCTTTGTGAAAAACTCCCAGAAGAGTGGGGGATTTATAGATGCCAGGGCCAGGAAGCCACTAACACTGCTGTTAGGTGACCACTTAATTAACTTTATACTGGGAATAGCATTCATAAGAAATTGGTCTAGCCAGATTGGTGACTCACATCTGTAATCTCAGCTGCTCAGGAGGCAGAGATCAGAAGGACTGTAGAGTACCCCAAGCCAGACAAAAAGAACAAGATTGTATCTCAACCAATGAGATAAGATACAATCTATACACTATAGCCTGTTAACTATATGGGAGGAGTAAATAATATTGGTACAAGCCCACCCTGGCATAAATTGGAGAAAATAACTAAATGAATTTGAAAAATAAGTAAAAGAGCTGGTTGCATGACCTAACTGGTAGAGCACCGACTTAGGAAAAAAAAAACTTGGCCTAAGGTTCTCTGTGCCAGTCAGCAGAAAAAGTAATCTTCTGAATCACTGAGAGGGTTTTTTCTTCCAGGACAAGTGGAGCTGTACAAATACCAGATGTCAAGAGGACTAACATATTAAGGTATTCCCCATTTTATCTTTAGTCATGTCAAGGTGACTGTCATGGTGTGACAGGATAGTGCCAGGTCATTGGAGGGAAGCAACTCAGGCTGGAAGTCCAAGGAAGGACTAAAAGGACAGACTCTGTCTCTGCCTGTGTGAATAGTCATTAGAAATAATGGGAAGATTTGGTCTTCTGAAATGTACCCCATCATCCACAGATACCATATATACTTTAGGATATGAGCTGAATGAAGGCCTTGGAATAAGACAGGGTTTTAAAGAGCCAAACAAATGCTGCCTTTCCACATAGGAATTTTTGGGGAGGATATGTTAGTCCGAGGCCTCCTTAATTTTTTTTTGGTCAGTCATAGGGCTTGAACTTTTGGCCTTGGCACTGTCCCTGAGTTCTTCAGCTCAAAGCAAGCACTCTACCACTTGAGCCACAGTGCCCCTTCTCCTTTTCTGGTGGTTAATTGGAGATGAGTGTCATGGACTTTGCTGCCTTGGCTAGCTTTGAACCATGACTCTCAGATATCAGAATTCTGAGTATCTAGGATTACTGGAGTGAGCCACAAGCACCCAGCTGTCTTCTCAATTTGTTTCTCAATATTCTCAGTAATGTTAATTCTACTTTGAAGAACTAGGATTCAGGTAAATGAAAAATTCTTCTTATAGGGAAGAAGCAAATCTGGGCACCAGTCGCTTATACTTGTAATCCTTGCTACACAAAAAACTAAGATCTATGGATCAAGGTTCAAAGCCAGCCCAGGCAGGAAAATCCCATCTTACCTCCACTAAGCTACTAAAAAAGCCAAAAGTGATACAATGCTGTCTTTGCTCATGGAAGCTTAAAGCTCAGAGACAGAATCTTGGCTCTGAGTTCAAGCCCCAAGACCAACACACACACACACATAAAATAACAAGGTCTGGGAATGTGGCTCAGCGGTAGAGTGCTTGCCTAGCATACATCAAGCCCCAGTTTCAGTTCTACAGTACCACATAAAACAAAAAGCTGGAAGTGGTACTGTGGCTCAACTGGTAGAGTGCTCGTCTTCAGCCAAAGAAGCTCAGGGACAGTGCCCAGGCCCTGAGTTCAAGCCCCAGGACTGGCAAAAAAATAACAAAGATGAGGATTCTTAGTGAAGATTCATAACTGTAACTATTCCCAGGATAGAGAGCCTCATAGCTATTCCATTGCTACCACCTTAGATCATCCCCAGGCAGATATAAACAAGGGAGATCCCTCCTTAGCTCCTTTCCCAGGAAGCCAGGGAGAGGAGAACATGGGAATGTGGGAGTCATTATCAATGCACTTAACCAGAGAAATACCTATTTGCCTCAAGTTAAGATGATAGTCATGAATATGTATTGGTAAAAAAAAAAATACCCTGCCCCAGAACAGAGGAGGCTCTTCAATATCTGGACTTTGTCAGCCCCAGGAAGACAGATGGGACTGGAAACCTGAAACCAACACTGTAGTTGTTTGCAAAAGCCCCTCAGGGGAAAGGCTCTTCAGAGAAGGATTTCTTATGCAGTATCATCAAGGAAACCTATAGAGACAGCCTAAGATAAAATTGATGGAATCAAATCACACCATCTCACCTTTTTTCTTCAAGGTTACTAAATCATCTATCTTCTCTCCTACACTCCTGTCTTCTGTCTCTGACCAGTATCATCATGCCTCGGGGTCAGAAGAGTAAGCTCCGTGCTCGTGAGAGACGCCGCCAGGTCCGAGGAGGAGAAGAACCAAAGAATGTGAAAAATTCTCAAGCTACTGTAGGAAAAGAAGAACATCCCTCTTCCTCAAGTTCTGATATCCAAAATGCCCCTCACAGTTCATCTGCTGATGAAGCAATCAGCAGTCAACCAGAGCTGGGGGGAGCTGAATCTCTCATGGCTGCTGCTATTTCCGTTGTTACACAGCCAAGATCTACTGAAGGCGCCAGCAACCAAGTTGAGGAAAAGCCAACTACTTCACTGGCTACCACTGAGCCACGTGTGGAGGACCTAATAGACCAGAAGATTGCTATGCTTGTGCATTATCTGCTGTACAAATATCAAATGAAAGAGCCCATTACAAAGGCAGATATGTTAAAAAATATAATCCAGTCTTGTAAGAATCACTTCCCTGAGATCCTGAAGAAAGCTTCAGAGCATGTGGAATTGATCTTTGGACTTGATGTGAAAGAACTGGATCCAATCAAGAACATCTATGTTCTAGTCAATAAGCTGGAAATGGGTCCTGATGCAAAATGCAGTGATAGCAGAGGTGTGCCTAAGACTGGCCTGCTGATGACTGTCCTGAGTGTGATCTTTACAAAGGGCAACTGTGCCACTGAGGAACAAGTCTGGGAAGTGCTAAATATGATGGGGATACAAGAAAATAGGAATCACTTCATTTTTGGGGATCCTAAGAAGGTCATTACCAAAGATTTAGTGAGAGACAGGTACCTGAAGTATGAAAGGATACCTGACAGTAATCCACCACGCTTTCAGTTTATGTGGGGCCCAAGAGCCTATGCTGAAACCACCAAAATGAAAGTCCTGGAGTTTTTGTCCAAGATCCATAATACTAGTCCTAATTCCTTCCCAGATTTGTATGAGGAGGCAATGAAAGATGAGGCAGAAAGAGCCCAAGCTCGACTTGCAGCTCGGGCCCGAACTGCTGCCATGGCCAGTGCACGTTCCAAGGTCATGCCCAGCAACTCATGTCCCAAGTAAAACCTAGTAAAAGTATTTCCCTATGCTTTTGAAGAGGATAGCTAGGGTTCTCCGTATGAGAGGGTGGATTAACATAATGCATAATACTTGTTCCTCCTCAATGTAATAACTTGAATATTGGTTTAATTGTTCTTTTTAATAGGTGTATGTAGCTTTAGAATCCAAGTTTATGAGATATATAAGTAAGGTATTCACTGATGTTTATTAGATGTAAAAATGAGAGTTTTTTTATATCTGTTGAATTGAGAAATTTCCCATGTTATTTAGTGATACTGGTCTGTATAACAGCATGAAATTGTGAAAGAACTTAGAAAAATAGTTAAGATGAAAAAATAGAGAAAAAATTAAATGTGTTACTTTTAGCATGTTTTATGAAATTTAAAATGTTTACCAGGTATAAGTTATAATGTATTAAGAAATTATATAATAAATGTTTATGCTTGACATTGTCTCATTTGTTTATCAAATTTTTACTGGGCATTTGCTTTTTGGAAGGTTCTGTGCTTGCATTAGGAAATGTCAGGATAAACACGATTCACTCATGCCCACTGAATTTCAAAGCTGTCATTTAAAAACATAGTATGATGTATCCTAAAAGAAGAAATATGTAAATGATGGCAGGAGAGCAGAGTTCTGTAATCCTAGCCATTTAAAAGTAAGAGATCAAGGCCAGCCAGGGCATAAAAGTTTACAAGATTCCATCTCAACCAATGGCTGGGGACTATGATTCATGCCATTTATCCAAAGGGAGTGGGGAAAGCAACGAAAACTGGGCACAATGTCATAATCATATCCCCCTAGCAACAGAAGGAAACACAAATAGGACTGCAGTCCATAACAGCCCATGCATAAAAAGCATGACCCTATCTTGAAAACAAATGAATTCAAAAGGGCTGGGAGAGTGACTCAAGAGTTAGATTAAATACAAAGCCTTAAATTCAACTTAAAAAGGGTGTGGGGGGGATTCCATGAAAACAGGTAGGTGCAAATGTCCTGAGGAAAGTGGATTTCAAGCACTGGGAAAGCTAGTTAATTTTTAAATGAAGATGGGTAGTAGGTTAGACGTGGTTGGGAGGAGGAAGAGGGGCTGACTCCTTAAGCTTATGTATCCACAAGTTAAAAATAGGGCCTGAAATGGAAACTACCTTTTTATCAGCTTCTTTAGGGTCATGGGTAACAAGAGAATCCCTTTCCTTCCTAAGGAATGAGGCACTGCTTTCCTTTCCCAGTGTCCTTTTCTGAAGTACAGTTGAACACTATGTACAAGAGACCCATTTTATATCCAGAGAGTTCTGAGAAAATGGATAATACCTGATATCAGTGTGCTCAGAAACCACTCTGTTGTCAGTATTTGCTCTGGCTTGGAGAAGTCAATCCATTACATTAAAAGGGAGTTTTCACAGGTAGTCAAGTATAATTTAGCAAATTATACTTGAAATAAATAAAAATAAGAGTATCCTGGATGGAAGGACATAGAGAAGGATGAGAAGCTAGTTCTTTATAGAAAGTTTTGGAACCAAATGTTTCATATAACTAACAAAGAGTACCCCACACCCACAATAAATAATACTACATTTTTTATGGTAAGTGGTTTTGTTTTATTTGCTATGCCTCCTTTTGGATGATTTTTGTGCTCCCGAAATGCTGCACATTTTCTGATACCACATGATGTATTAAAAAAATAAAAACCTAGGGCCAGGTTACAAGATTGACTCTATAGTATTGTGTCAGTCTAGCACATTTGAGGGCCTGAGTTCAAATCTTACCTCCAAATAGGCATATTTTTGTAAGATCTGGATCAAAGTAATAATACTATTAACTGTCAATTATTAAGCATGTAATAAAATTCAGTCACTGTGCCAAGGACTCTGTATGTGTGTGTGTGTGTGTGTGTGTGTGTGTGTGTGTGTGTGCGCACACGCTCACATGAGCATGAGCACGCATGCATGCACACATACACACACACACACACACACACAGGCACATGCACAAACCAGTACTAGAACTTAAAATCAGAGTCTGGATACTATCAGCTTTGATGCTCAAGGCTAGCTCTCTACTACTTGAGCCATAGCCTCACTTCTAGACTTTCTGGTGGTTAATTAGAGTTAACTGTCTCTTGGACTTTCCTGCCTAGGCTGGCTTTAAACCGGAATCCTTAAATTTCAGCCTCTTGAGTAGGTAGAATTAGAGGCATGAGCCACTAGCACTCAGCTTGAAATTTTTTACTTTATATACATTTAAGATGTCATAAGATAGGATTTGTCAAACTTTCTTTAGAAAGACTGAGTCTTATACCTGCAATTTTCTTGATTTCATATAGAGCACTGATCTAAAACTGTTTAGAATCCACATGGCAAATATTCTGTCCCTTTATTTATTTATTTTGTGTGCCGTTACCAGGGCTTAAACTTGGGTTCTTGTGGCTTTATTGCTCACAGCTAATACTCTACAACTTGAGCTACACCACTAGTCTTATTCTGTTAGTTAATTTATTATCTCATGATAACTTCAGATAATGAAAAGATAGAATGTGGTACCAAGGAACTGAACACATTTATAATGAAGAAAATAATAACTAAACATCATTTGGAGACTGCCTATGTACCTCGTTGTCTGCTCATCAGCTCTAGGTGCTTTTAACAAAGTTTTTGCCAAATCAGCTTGTGAGTAGAGTTATATTTGGCATAGAACATAATGGTTCTTGAAAGATGAGTTAAGTTATGTTTTAGGAAGAAGATGAGGTTAGAAAAAAAGGTGAATGTAATTTTATGACATCTGAAACTGACACTGTACCCATACACTGATGAGTGAGCTTAATTAAATGGTAAAAATTCGAAGCCTTCTCAGTAATTCATTAAGAAAGACCTAAGAAATCATTGTATAGACACTGTAACTGGAAGCTGGATTCTTAAAAAAATCTGGTGTCCTACCAAGAGGATATAATTGCTTTCCATGCTCATGCAACAAAATACCATACATAAAGGGACTTAAAATAACACATATTTATCATCTCACACTATTGTAGATGAGAAGTATGAGTTGTTTTTTCTAGGTTTTTTTCCTCTCAGTTACAGAAACCTAAACCAGCCTTTCAAAGATAGAATTCAGCCTGGGAGTCTTCCTTCCTTCCTTCCTTTCTTCCTTCCTTCCTTCCTTCCTTCCTTCCTTCCTTCCTTCCTTCTTTCCTTCCTTCCTTCCTTTCCTTTCTTTTCTGTCTGTATGTCTTTCTTCCTGTCTGTCTTTCCTTTCTTCCTTCCTTTCCTTCTTTCTTTTCTTTCTTTATCTTTCTTTCCTTCCTTTCTCTCCTTCTCTCCTTTCCCTCCATCCCTCCCTCCTTCCCTCCCTCCCTCCCTCCCTCCCTCCCTTCCTCCCTTCTTCCCTTCCTTCCTTTCTTCCTTCCTTCCTTCTTTCCTTCCTGTTGTGATGCTTGAACTTGAACTAGTTTCTGTCCCTGAGCTCTTTTGCTCAAGGATAGCACTCTACCACTTTGAGCCATAGAGCCACTTCAGGTTTTCTGAGGTTAATTGCAGATAAGAGTCACATGGACTTTCCTGCCTAGGCTAGCTTCAAACAGTGATCTTCAGATCTCAGCCCCCTGAGTAGCTAGAATTCCTTGCATATGAGCTACCAACATCTGGCTTGTTGGAAAGATTTTCACTCAATCATTTATTTAGGTTGTTCTTGGAATCCACTTACGTTAGAAATCTAGTTTTTAGTAATTTGAAGAAGGGAGTGGGCAGTCAGTGAAAGCTGCCATGTTCCCTTGTCTAAAGCTGTTTAGAGCCCACATGGCAAATATTCTATCTCTTATTTATTCATTTTGTGTGCCACTCTTGTTTTGCATGTGGATTTCTATATTTTATTACTTTATATTATTTATAGGAGCATTTCCTTGTTTACATCTCCACACATGTTTACATTGTATTCTCCTCAATATGGCTCCCTCCATCACACTCCATACCACAAGGCAAAGCATCCCTGTCAATTTGAATAGCTTTGTAATACATTGAATCATCCTTCAATTTTGAGTCAGAAAAGGCACATTGACCTAAACTGAGGCTTAGAATGGCTTCCCTGATACCTGTTTGTTCTGTCTTCAGGTGAAGAAATTTCTCTGCATGTAAAGTCTCATGTAATTAGATGAGGCCTGTGAAGAAAATCTAGCATAACTTACCTCTTTTTAAGGTCAGTACCATAATTTTAATTATATTTACAAAGTCTCATGGAACATAACATTCATAAAGAATTCTTTATACAGTAATTTTTTCCATCAACAACAGAGGTAGCAAATATCTCCTTCTCGGATAAGAAAAGAAAAAAATAACTCACCGAAAGCACCTGTCACCTATGGTTACTAGATAACACTGTTGAATGGAAAGGTTTATATTTTTTTTCAGAAACTCTTCCAAAAACAAAGAGGTCCATTGTCCTGACAAATTATAATAACTTTTTATTGACTTAGTACAATATGACATTTAAGTAGAGAGTCTATAATTGCTTATCCACTTTGTGTCTTGCTGTCTGTTCTTGGTTTATATCAATAGTAAATTATCAATCTACTGGAAGTTAGGAAAGAACATATGACTCCCCTTGACACTGAAATATGAGCAGAAGCATGGCTTTTCCACCAAGGCACATGAAAGCCAGTATACCTTCCATGCCTTTTGTTCCATTTATCAGAAAACAGAAAACTCATGCTGAGATATAGAGCTAGATGGTAGAAGTAGTGTGGGTACCTGGATCAGCTGATAACGGAGAACTGATGCCAATTCACATCAATTTTTTTTGTGTAAGTTTGTCCCTTTACAGCTATATCTGGCTAATATTCAGCTATATTTTCTATTGATATTCTTTTTTACTGTAAAGGTGATATATAGAGAGGTGACAGATACATAAGTCAGGTAATGAGTAAATTTTTATATTCTTATTTAAATATTTTAGTTACAAAGAGAAAAATGGCATATAGTTGTGTCAAAACTTCTAAAAATAGATATAAA